ATAAATGAATGTACTTATCTTCTATCTCTACAGCTTCAGCATAAAGCACATTACGCCAGGATAGTCACATGGACTTGATTCATGATGGGGACACATTTTCAATTTTATGATTAAAGATCTTTCTCTGAAAAACCTGATATTTTAACCCATTCTTAATTCAAGGTTGAAGATCTGTGGGTGTGTGTTCCTATAAATTAATTAGAGATTTTGATTTTGAAAGCTAATCAGAGACAGTCAATAAAAACAATGTGTTGATTTATTTCGATCTCACACACACAAAAGAAAAACTCTTTGCAAACTAATGCTATAGACATTGACTCAGGCAATAAAAGTTTCATACCGAGTACAAAGATTAGTAAAATAAACTAATTCTCCTTACATGTGTAAATAGACTTCTAAAATAAAACAGACTGTATATTTACTAGATGAAGTCAATCAGGCATCATAATTACTCAGCATTACTGGCCAGACAACCATTCTTTTCATAATACCTTTTAAAATACCAGGAATACTAGGAACAAAATTTTAATGGTAAATATATGACTGTTTCAGTAAAATGCAGTTTCCTAGTTTGTGGTTTCCCTCCACAAACTATAACCAGGAAAATGTCTTAATTATACTTCTTAAAATAATTATTGTTGATTACATAAATGAGAAATTGAAGACCTTTAAAACATCATTTTCATGTTAGTTAACTTTCCTGACCATAATAATCGCAGGTGACTAATTCAAAAAACACAAAATCTGGGAAATACAGAGGAAGTAAAAATGAAAATTAAAATCATCTGTCCATTCAGCATGCAGCATCAAGCATTATTAACATGCCTTCTATTTTCAAAATATTGTCTTCAAAGTTCATAGTCATATATTTTATACTTAAATATAAAATTAAGTATAAGGGATTAAGACATATGCCACACGTCCTAATTTCAAAGTTTGGGTCTGTAATAGTCTGTGTACATTCTCTGAGTTAGCCACACACCATCTGCAAAGAGAACACATGCACAAGGAGAAGGCTTGTTAAACCTAGAATGAAGCCGAGCAGCTGCTCTGAACCCCGGTCCGTCAAAGCCTAGGGTTCAGGATTAAGGGGCTGGTTGTTCCCTGGCTGAGCTCACACCACAGTGCTATTCATGGAATGACTTCTAGGTTTAAAAAACAGCCTGTCTTTCAGTTTAAAACAGATCTATGTTCAACACTTCAGAAACTGTCTGTCAACTTGAACTGGTTTCCAGTTGCACAATATCACACTTCTCACCCTCACACTTGCCTAAGCAACTCAGTGTTCAAGATTCTGTTATTCTCATCCTCCCCACTGAACACACACGCAAATGTCCAAGGGAATTTTACATATCCTTGTCACATTATTGTATCCTGTAGCCAAAACAAAGCTAAGTTCATATGCCTAACTGTAGCAGAAAACACAGGCCATCATTTGGAAAAGTGCTACTTGTAAGACACTAAACATGTAAATTATGCAAAAATAAAAGTTGAATATAACCATTCCATGCTTCAGCTACATATCCTCACTTATCAAATACCCTGTCTAGGGCAAGATTTTAAAAAGTACAATCAGAATAGTATAATAAGTGAAAGAATAAAAAGTATTAAATCAAAACTGTAAACATGGCATGTTTCCCCCACAAGGATCTGTGTCACCAGAGGCTCAAAGCAATAGTACAAATTGGTCATGGAAGTCTCTGAAACTGTGCACCAAAACAAATCTTTCTTCTTTATAAGTTGATTTATCTTGGGTATTTTGTTATAATGATAAGAAGCTGACTAATGCAAAAAACATTAAGACATTATTACCCAAGACCTTAATTAAGCCATTACAAAATTAAATGGGATTATTTCTCAGCAGTTGAAACTTTTCATTCCTGAATTTTAGAAAATTATCTTATAATATGGAATACCTAACTCTGCTACCTACATGCCAATAAAAATCAATGAGATGAAGAATAGAAAGTAGACAGCATGTGGTCCTTTAGAAATTAAATAGCCTTGCCAAAAGCATGAGGCACTTCCTGAAAGCCTCTTAGATGTTTCTTCAATATTATTTGCATATCTCACATACAGCAAAGTTTGGAAATGGTCATGAATAAGGTAATTAATAATTTTAGGTTTAATTATTTGATGTTCCCAAATTTTGAAGAAATACCATATTTTCTAAGCTGCTGTTTTTAAAGCAGAAAAGTGTTATATTTTTATGCATTGATGCAATGATGCCATTATTGGTCAAGTGGATGTCACAGCACCTTCATAGCTTGTCTTGATTATTCCATAAGGATTCTCTTAATCTAGAACCCACTACTTAAGTCCTAGACTAATGTCATGCAGCCATGTTCATGGTATCATGAACACCATTTGGTCAGGGCCGGAAACCTGCATCAGGGCACATCAGCAATGACTTTTACCATCACTGCCCTTTGAAAAAAAACATTCAGAAGCAAGAGCCACGAGGGAGGCAGGGTCAGAGCCAACACCTGATTTGTAAAGCACTACAACGTTATCTGGACCTCAAAGCAGCCCATCTCAAAAAACAAAACCCAATCGAAGCACCAAATTTCTCAAAAGGCCTCATTGGTGAAGACTCTTCTTCAGTTTAGAATCTAGCTGTAAGGTCTTTTCAGATGAATCTCAACAAGACTCAGCTCATTAACAGAAAATGATGTAGTACACAAATACATTCAAAACACCAGCAGCCAACATTGGATATCTATAAGAAATATTTATATAAGTGGATATCCTACATTCATAGCCATTCAAGCCTTTTTTTTTCCCCAAGGCTTAAAGATTATTATGTGTAACCAAAGAAAAGCACACTGGCTGACAATCTTGAGGCAGGGTTTGAGTTCCAGCTTTTGACACCGCTGCCCTGTTTCTCTGTCTCCGTTTCCTGACCTCTGAGATGAGCAGGGCACACTCTACAACTGAAGACCTTGGAGCTCCCTCATTTACCATCTTCAGCCTTCTAGTGCTTGCTTCATAAGATATCTGTATACATACCTTTTCTGAAAAAGACACTACAGAAACATAGCTTTTCATTCGTCTGGGCTTCTTACTCTATTCTCAGTTCTTTTTGCTATGTCATCCACAAATATAACTATTGCTCAGTCACCGAGGGAGTGATAATTACTACAACATCTAATTAACTTACATAAGCACTTATTACAAGTCTTGCAATGCTAAGCACTTCACATATAATTCTCTTCCTCACCACAACCCCATGAGGTAGGAACCATTATTATTCCCAGTTTTAGAACTGAGTAGACTGAGGCACAGATAGATTATGTAAGCTGCCCAAGTTCATAAGGTTTACAAGTGAAAGGGTCTGAATTCAAACTCCAATCCCTCTGTTCCTGGAACCCTTGCTGTTTACTAGCCTTCTAGGACACACCTAGAGGTCAATAGAAGATGGAATGCAGTAGAGTTCAGTGCAAACTGAGCTTGCACTATGAAATTCTCTCTGCAACTGGCAGCTCATGATTTGCAAACCCTGCACAAGCAGTTACCACCCATATCTCTCTCTTCCACACTTTGGTTTCACAAATAAATAATACTGATGGGAAATAAATTAAATCTATCTTCCTTCTCTCTCGGTCATTTGAGGAAGTGCATGAATAACAGGAACTATGGGACCATGAGTGACTTCCACGTCTCAGTGCTGAGTAGGCAGCACTTGGTTATAATAAGGCTCGAAGTCACAGTCCAGAGACACTTCGTGTTAAGTCAGGAGCCTCAAAACCTAACAGCTTAAAACAGTGACCAGCCAAACATGGGAACAGCAGTTCCCTCAACCTCAAATGTCCAAAGCTGGGGGACCTTACCATCAAGTAACCAAAAAACACCTGTGCGTCAAAATGTCAGTGTGCAATTAATTAAACTGTGCACTGGCATGCACAGTAAGGACGGAAAATAACAGCAATCAAAAAAGTCCTATTTAACTATTTAGCAGGTTTTTTTAATGTATGTACACGTATGTATTTCCCTAATTCATAAACCAACCAAAATCTCTCAAGAACCCACACTTGGCTAAGTTCCAAAAGAACTTCAGCATTTCAATGGGCCAAGGCCACTAAAGGGGAGAACTAGCAGGTCTGGGTCCCACAGCTCTCCCTAGGCTGCGCACGAGACGGGGCAAGCCCTCCTTTGGCAAGGCCAGAAGGAAATTACTTCAGCTAAGGGGAGCCGGTGAGCTCCTCCCGAAGACAAAGCCACACTTGGGCTCTCCACATCCCCTGAGTTTCATGTCTAAGGCCGAGGACTTCCACGGACCGCTCTTTCAAAGCTGGCACTGGCAGAGGAGAGGCTGAGAGCGGGAGTGAGAAAGATGGGGAGAGGAGGCGACTTGTTTTCCCAAGAGAGAAAATAAACACATTTTAGTCAAAACACCCACGGAGAAGCCAGTGAACGCCTCTTGGCTGGGCCAGCCATGGGCTTTTGAATCACTTCCTCCTTTTCTGCGGTGTCTGTGAGCTTGAGATCACAAACTCGCCGAGAAAGCCTCGCCTCTGGCAGCTTCCTGCGAGCGCGCGGGCGGGGAGCGCAGACCCGGAGGTCACCTGGGACAGGGACGCGGGGCGCAGACCCGGAGGTCATCTGGGACAGGGACGCGGGGCGCAGTCCCGGGACGCAGACCCGCGGTCACCAGGGGCGGGAACGCGGGGCGCAGACCCGGGGGTCACCTGGGACAGGAACGCAGGGCACAGTCCCGAGACGCAGACCCGCGGGTCACCAGGGGAGGGCACGCGGGACACAGTCCCGGGCGCAGACCCGCGGGTCACCGGGGGCAGGAACTCGGAGCGCAGACCCGTGGGTCGGATCACCTGGAGCGGGAACGCGGGGCGCAGACCCGCGGGTCGGATCAGATGGGGCGGGAACGCGGGGCGCAATCCCGGGGCGCAGACCCGCGGACCCCGCCACCTCGGGCAGACCTGAGGCGCTGCCCCGAAGGCTCAGCCACCTGGGGCGGGAGTAGGGAGGGCGGCGCAGCTTACCCCAGGGTGCTGATGAAGCCGTTCACCGAGCCCTCCGCGTACAGGGACACGATGTCCCCTATATAGAGGAAGCTGGACATTTTATCAGACATGCTGCTTCATGTTCCGCAGTGGACGCCTCCTTCCTCTCCGCCGCCGACGCGGAACGGCGTGCGGCCCGGGGCTTCCGCGCCAGGAGCAGCGGGACCAGGGCGGCTCGGAGGACACCGCGGCTGGCACAGCCTGGACGCCGCGAGGAGCCGCACTGCCGCCGCCCGCAGGGTTCCTGTTCGCTCCGAAGTTTTCTCAACACCTTCGCTCCTCCTCCTCCCGCCCGCCGCGGCAGTCACAGGGTCCCTCGGGAGCAAGCTGGAGGTTGCGGAGCCCCTCGGTCCCTCCGGGGGAAATTTTCGGACCAGGTGGTGATGCCCCGGAGAAAAGGAGACCAGAGAGTTAGCCAATCAGGCAGCGGCGGCCGGAGGCGGAGCCGGGCCTGGGCAAGGCGAATCAGGGAAACCCGGCCAGTGGAGAAGCCGCGCTGGAAGGCACGCCCCCGCGTGGGGGCGGAGCTTAGCTGGGGCGGGGCGAAACGGTCCAGACCACTGGGGAAGCCGCGCCCCGCCCCCCACCGTGGGGTCGGAGCTGGGCCGGGGCGGGGCGACTCAGGGAGGCCGGGTCTTTGGCTAGGCCGCTCTGGAAGACACACCCCCGAAAGGGGGCGGAGCTGAGCTGGGGACGCGGTCGACTCGGCCGGGCCAATCGGGAGGCAACTACAGAGTAGACGCCCCCGCGTGGGGGCGGAGCTGGTTGGTGCTTTAGACCCGGGCGGGAGGGGTAGAGGCAGGACCAGGAACGCAGCTGCCTCAGCCTGGGCGGGTGAAGGAGTCGGAAGGGAGCTGGGAGGACGGGCACTGGCGACGCGAGGGCGAGGGCACTGGGGAGGGAACCGGCGAGAGGAAGAGCGAGGAAAACACGTTTCTTGTTTTGTTTCGTTTTGTGTTCCCCAAGTACTTGGGTTAGCGAGTCTTGAGCTGCCCGCAGATGTCCCGGTGCACGGGGTGCATGGGGCGCGTGGCCGGCTGGCAGTTCTTGTATCCGCGCTGTGAAGACTCCCCTAGGCCTCCACCCTGGGGAGCCCACTGGCAATCCTCGCTGGCTTGCATTTAAAGCATTTCATTTACTTTGCATTTAAGGCATGAATCTTAAAGTTCCACGGGTTACGAAGGAACTGGAGGCGCAGGCCACGTTTGCAAGCCTCTGTTCCTTTTTGCAGTCCTCTCCTTAGAACAGTTTTAACAACCTTTTACCCTCCTCTTCTGGAAGCCTCAGAGCAGGCAAACTGTGTCTGGTGGTTATGACACTAGCCACTCAATCATAAATTACTACATAAGTAATCCCCACAGAGCAAGGCTTGCAGAAAAACAGAGGGCTGCAAAGGGATGGGTGCCAAATTGTGCAACTGACCAAAACTGAACTTAGAGTTCAAAGATGGTTTGGGTTGAAATTTATAATCACATAATAGGATATGAGAGAAAAACAACCTTAAGGTCCAAATGTTTGTATCTAGAAAGCCTTTGAGATAGCAAAGAGTAGATACTGAAGCCAAGAAAGGCTGGTAGGAAGCCTGTATGTGTAAATACACTGGACCTGGTCATGGACTTACAAAATAGCCTGCAGATCTTCCTCTGCTCTCCTTCCTCTCCTCTCCTCCCAACCCTCCCCTCCCCGCTCCTCTTCCCCCTTCCCTCCCTGTACATACTGGAAACACTATGAGAATGTATCAGTATCTAATTTATGTTTTATCCCCCCATAAGGTTTAGCAGTGCCCACTTAGGATTTCAATAAATACTTGATAGATAAATGAAATAACTAATGTAGAATTTTTTTACTGCTTAAATATTTCTAATGATGACAGCCATAGACGTTGTGAACATCAGTTTTATCAAATAACAGAGTCTCCTGTGCTGAGACCATGAGTCACTCCAGCAAGAGCCCCAGTCATCATATCCTAAAAACAAATCTGTATGGAGAGGCAATAAACAGCAGAGAATAGTTGAAATGTTTGCTCCCAAAGGATTGAATATATTAAAAATAAGGTTTCCAGTAAAGAGATCTTCCATCAGGATATATTCAGTGTTCACTTGAATATCATCAGATCAATAGAAGTGAAAGAATTTGCAAGCTGTTCTCTGTCAACTGAGTGTTTTATGAATTGCTTTACTCTCTTTCCTGCCTCCTAATGTATAAACCTTTTAAGATATAGCTGGTTTATTGAACAGTCTACTTCATAAGACACAAATAAAATACAGGTTTGTAAATCATTCCCTTTCAACAATTCTCTTTTATTATATCTACAAATTCTGTTCCTTAGTAGTTTGAGCCTTTGAATTTTGAGTATATTTGATTATTCAAATATGCACTCATGTACATACACACATCCCGGGGCAGTACAGTTTAAAACACTGGTCTCATCTCCTCCAGACCTCTTCAGATCAATGAGTCAGCCATGAGGAAGGGATATAGTCCATATGTCTCCTCACTTCAACCCCTTGGGTGTTGGGATGGGGAAGTAGAATAAAGATGGAAAGAGCAAACAATCTGAACTGGGCACGTGTTTCAGTCTTCTCTTGAGTCTCATTGTCCATCTGCCAACCTGACTGGTTGCAGAGGTGTTCTTGTCATATGGGCATCAAATGTCAACTTTCTGTTGGGCATATCAGTAAGGTTTCCAGTAGCCCTGAAGGCCCCTGCAGTGTACAATTCTTTGAAATAGATGAGCTGGCACCTGCCTGACTACCTCCAGGCCCTCTCAGATCTACCCATGATGCCCCCCAGGCAGACCATCCTTAAGTGGAGTTCAAGTAAATTGGACCTCATTTTCATTATGGGTGATTCATGGTGGTGCTGCAACCTGTACACAGCACCTGTGCCTAGAAGATCCTCATGTTTGTTGTGGTGTTTTGCTGGTATCATTCTGACATTCTTGGTCACTTTTTAACAAAATGCTCTGCATTTTCATTTTGCACTGGACCCTGCAAATTATATAACCAGTCCTGGATTCAGGCACACCAAAGAGAGGGCATGTAAACTGCTCCATAGATCCTCCTTATTCCATGAATCAATCTTTTCTTTCTTTCTTTCTTCCTTTCTTTTCTTCTTCTTCTTCTTCTTCTTCTTCTTCTTCTTCTTCTTCTTCTTCTTCTTCTTCTTCTTCTTCTTCTTCTTCTTCTTCTCCTTCTCCTCCTCCTCCTCCTCCTCCTCCACCTCCTCCTCCTTCTTCTTCTCCTTCTCCTTCTTCTTTCTCTCTCTCTCCTCTCTCTCTCTCTCTCTCTCTCTCTCTCTCTCTCTCTCTCTCTCTCTCTCTCTCTCTCTCTCTCTCCTCCCTCTCTCTCTCCTCTCACCAATTCCTTTTTCCTATCTCTGACATACCAAGTTACTTTTGATTAGGACATCAGTGCCAGGCTCTTCCCCTTGCAGACATTACCATTTAATAAGTTCCTCCATGGAAATAAGAGAAAGCTCTACCACCCTTCACTAGGTCGGAAATGAACAACTCAGGCTGGATGTGTGGCCCAGTGGTACAGTGCTTGTCTAGATGCATGAGGTAAGACCCTGGGTTTGATCCCCGGTACAGCACAAATTTTAAAAGGACAGATTCGCAGTGATTAATTTGTATTCAACATGATGAGTTCTGAGGATTTGTTCACTAATAAACATGAAGTAGTGATTTATACTTTCTGTGAAATTTCAGACTAAAAAGAATGTGCCCTTAGACCTCTGGGTCCACGCTGAAAGCAGAAAGGTGGATGTCATGGGGAAAATGCAACCATCCTCATCACTATCATCCCAACACACCTGTGAGGTAGATCCTGTGGTCACCACCCACATAGTCACCCACCTTCCCCACATTGGGTAAGAGCCTGAACAGGGTTACTCTAAGCATGGGTACCAATGTCTAAATCCTCTCACGATTTAGTATGCATAAGAGCCACCTGAAGAGCTTATTAAAGCACAAATCTCTAGGCTCTGTCCCCTGAGATTCCGATTAGCAGGTCTGGGGTGGGATTGACCATCATTCCTGACCAGGTGGTTTGTATGTGGGCAGGGACCGGGGGAGATGGAGCTCAAGCAAACCTTGGCTGGTAGGAAGGACTTGCTAAGAAAATGATTTGATTTTTACCTCAAACTTACAGAAATATTATAAAAAAGAATACATAGCTTTGCCCCAAATTCAGCAATTTTACAGTTTGCCATATTTGTTTTATGGCTGTCATTCTTTAACACACATAGAAATTTATTTTCAGAACAATTTGGGGGTAAGTGGCATACATTGTGCCCACTTGCCTTTAATATTTCTTGTTTACAGTATCAAAGAACAAAGCTGGTTTCTTAGATAGCCAAAGCACAGATGTCCACTTCAGGAACTCTAACACTGATACGAACCTTAATCAGTTGCCAGCATTCCGATGCCCCAATTATCCCAATAGCTTTTTTTCTACATCAGTTTTCGCCTCCAGGGTGGAGTCCTGTGCAGGATCTTAGACAGCATTCGGTAGTCATGTCTCTTTAGTTTCTTTCATCTTGTAAACAATTCCTCAGGTGTATCTTGTCTTTAATCATATTGTCAGTTTTGGTGAACACAGGCCATTCATCTTTAGGCTATCCCTCAGTTTGGTTGTCTTTGTGTTTCTTCATAATTGGATTAGGTTAAATGTATCCAGCCAGAATAGTGCACAGAAGAAGATGTGATCATCCCAGGAAACCCTGGCCTCAGGGATCCTATGTCCATCTGCCCCTCACTGATGTTAATTTTGATCACTTTTGGAGTGTTGTCTGGTGCATAGGAGTTTAAGAACAATCCAGAATCAGATCTCTCATGAAGATGTGGCTCATAAGGAACCAATTTCAACTGGGGAAAATTCTGGAAATGAAGGCCAATCACAGGGCACCAACAAGTCTGATTTTCCTGCCAAAAATGCTGTCAAACTCATCTCCCGACCCTTAACCTCTCTGTTTCCAAAGCCAGAGTTTGACATCAATCTACTGATTTCCTATCTGCAGAGGCCAAATACCAAGAATCCCAAGTGGAACATTTGAACTCTTCTCATTAGAGTAGCTGTGAGTCAAACATCACCACGCATACACACACACATACTCACACACAGACACACACATACACACTCACACAGGCACACCATGCACACACATGCACACACAGGCACACACTCTCACACACAGGAGCATTCCTCTCTCCTGCATGGGGGTGGGGTTTGGTGGCATGTGCGACTCAACACAGCAGCAGCTCACAAATTTGAGCCCAGCCTGAGCTACCTAGTGGGACCCTGTCTCAAAAACAAACAAAAAAATGGAAAAGTAGATTTTATTTGCATCTTGGTCTTATTTGTTGTATCGTGACACCTTTGGTGAAACTCCCCATCCAGTGCC